AGAAAAGCATATTATACTTTCAAGCATGTATAAAAAAAAAATGTAAAATACATGTTCCGTCAATTGTAATGAATGAATAAATGGAACATATTTTAAATGTTTTACCCTTTCACTTGTCACTAATTTATTGTGATAACATTTTTATAAACTCATTCTTTTTTTTTAAAAGGAATGATTTGTTAGTGACATCAATTTTACAAAAAGATTTCGATCGTTACAGTTAGGAATAACTGTAATGAGTCTTCTTATTCCGAGTCACCTAATGATAAGGATATAGCTTATTTTACTAAAAATTTTTGAAAAATATTTGGAAATAAGAAGAAGCCTCAAGAGAGACATAGATGTGCCTCCAATGAGTCTAGAAAGATATCTCAATTTGTAAGATGTCATAAGTGTCAAGGTTTTGACAATTTTAGAAGTGAGTGCCCTAACAGTAGTAGAAATATAGATAAAGCAGTAAATGTCACCCTCACTGATAACGAGTCTTTCTCAGATAATCAAAGTAAGAAGTCCATTCAGGATGAAAACATAAGTATATGGCCTTCAATACTAGGATTATGTGTGAATATGATAAGGAGAGTGAAAAGGTTGACGATGTAGATAGTGGTGAGGCAATCTAAGGAAGATTCTGGAGATAAAGAAGACATACATGTGGCCTATGATAAACTATATGAGGAAAGTCTTAAGATTTTGACTACAAATAAAGCATTGTGTACGAAGGTAAAAAATATTGAGTTAGAGAAAGAAAAACTTTTAGTTGACTTTCAGAAATCTACGTTATCCCTGAGTAAGTTGAACTCTGTGAACAAATTTTTAGATATATAGGTTAAGAATCTAATGACTGATCTTGAGAAGTCCTTTGAGAGACTTCGTGAGTTGAGTTTTATGAATGTGTCTTTAAAATAAACTTAAGATCTTGATGAGTGATCTTGAGAATTCCAACACCTAACTTCTTGCGTTCTCTAGTGGTTCAGTAAAGCTTGATAGCATCTTAGGAATGGACAAGCCTAGGGGTAATAAGGGAGGTCTAGGATAAAAGGAGAATTATTAAAATATAGCTAGTACTTCCAAGATCATTTTTGTCCCTGCCACTGACAAGCTTAAGTTTGTCCTTAATCCCGAAGAGAGCCTATTAGACAACGTAGGACCTACCAACCTAGGAATAGAAATTAGCAGCCATGTAACTTTAGTCCTAGGTTGTATCCCTACTTATTTTAATCATAGAGAGTTAGGACATATCAGGCCTAAGTGTTACAAATTCGTAAATAGAAATAGAAACTAGAACTTCAATAGAAATAATAATCAGGATTTTGATAACAAGATTGACTTCCTAACTAATTATGTGAGTCTATTGACCGAGCTAATGACATAGTTAACTAAGATTAATTCCTCCACTAGGAAAGTTTGGATAAAGAAGAGTGATTTGAAAAATCTTGAAATGGATCAAGGTGTCCTTAAAGGTAAGAGCGTTTGTATACCTAACTGATTAGGTACTTCTGGTGCACGTTTTTGTCTATTCATTGTGATTCACTCATTATTACATGCATCTTATTTTTGTATTTGTTTTATAAGTAGTAATTTCATGTATGTGCATCTTCATCATGTTTGCATTGGCACATGTATATTTTTTGTGATTGGTGCATTCATTTAAAAAAAAGGAAATTTTTTTAACTACATCATCATATACGATAAACTTGGAAATGCGTGTTATGACCAAGTATGAGTTTAATTGATGTGCTGTTGTGTACTTTTCAATTACTTTGTTTAGATTTTTCTGGAATATTTAGTATAGGTTTATTCATATATCATGTGCACTGCACGCACTCTGATATTTTGAGTGGGACTTAACCGCGTGTGCAAGATTTGAGATGGTAGTCACATGTTGATATGGTGACTTTGAATATAAATTAACCTTAGTAAAGTAGTCCCTTGAAAGATAAAGCTCAATATCTTATGCTCTTTTTCGAAGCCTATTTGACTCAAACAATTAAGTTTGATGGGTTTCTCATAAACTGGTGCCTATGGTCAATTGATTTAGATTAATCGGCCTAAAGTTTGTTACACGAGACCATCTTAGTCGCTTAATGGAAAAGAGCCTACACTTAAAATGTAAAAAAAAATTTGAAAATATAGTCATTGATTAAAAATATATATGCTCAAAATCAGGGGAGAAAAGAATAATATACATGCAAAATGAGCATTGTTTATAGGTCCCCATATGCTTGTATTGGTTTAACTTTCATAAGTAAAGGGATAAACTTATTGACAGTGATATTTAGCATGTCTTTTCTTACAAAATTAAGGTTTGGAGTCATTTATAAAAGATTAGTGACACTTTACACACGTGAGTCACTTATACCATTTACTACATTTTAACTTGAACTGAGTACATGGAAAAGTTTACTGATCATTAATTATGTTTGTACATGCTATCTGCATCTTTGAGCTATTATGTATTGATGCTCAATTTTATTTGATAAAATTATTTTTGTTATTTGTGACAAAAAAGGGAGAGAGATTTTATTTTTTGACAATTAATCTGCAATTTAGGGAGAGTGTGCAGTAAGGGGGAGAAACGATAGCATCTTTCATTCATGGCATTTCATAGCATAATGCATCGCTTCGTCGAGCTTTGATGTTTGGTAACATTAATCTTTCTGTTGGTATTTTGATTAACATTAGTATTGTTTCTCAATCTAGTTAGCATATTTGTGATAATGTATTTCAATTGTTATATACCCTGTATCACGAGCTGTTATACTTGGTATTTAAGTTGTTGATTTCAAAAACCAAATTTAACAAGAAATGCAAAAGACGGACATTCAGTTTGAGTTTGGATAGATTAGTTTGATTTTACTCCATTGACTTGTATTATATAGTTTTGTCACTGAATGTTAAAGGGGGAGTTTGTTAAGATTTTATTGTATTGACAATTCTTTAAATAAAATGACTAATATGCGAAGTTGCAAAAGTCAATGAGTCTATTGAAATGTTGTATAGATGAAATAGATAATTTAGGGTTGGAGTTTGGAACAAGGAGGAAAGAGCCGTGGGATTAAGCTAGCCTATTCGCCAAGGGCCCTTTAGAGCCGAGGCGATTTTCGGGAAGTATCATGATCATCCAATAAGCACGTCCTTGTACAATGCTCAAGGCTCTCGGCTGAGTAACAGGAGCAACTTGGAATTTATTATGGAGGATGGGTTTTTCACATTTCATTTGATGGTCAGAGGCGAATTGAAAACTAAGCAGTGAGAATTCTATATTCAAGCGAAAAAAACAGTAGCCTTGTCGCTTGTCGGTCACTGCGCTATCGCTCAAGCGATACACTTGTCGCTCGAGTGACGATGTTACTCGTAAAACTCTAGTTCACGTTTTTCAAGAATTTTAACCGGCCTAAGCTACCTAAATGCCTTTTATTACCCTAACACATTTTTGGGGTTGTTGTTCATTACATTTCTCCTTCATATAAAACGTCATTCCAATATTGAAGAACATAATCAAGCCTTCAATTAATCCTTTGATTCTTGAGTTTATAATCACAACTTTGGGATAAACAAGTTCACATAATCCAAAACATTCACTTCCTATACACATAAAAGAATGTACTTTTTCAATAACTTTCAGTGGTTGCTGGAGATTGAGGATGATTGAAACATAAGCACGAGAAAAACACAAGGACAAAGAGTTCTTGGTGATCCACAGGAGATAGACAATTTCAAAAGATCGGGAGTAGGAGTGAATGAAACACATTTCAGCAAATTATGGCTTGGTAACAGAGTTTTTACTCAATTGGTCCGTCAGCATATTTTGTGTTCTTTATTGCTTTTATATTACAAATTATGACAGATCAATATAGAATAAATTGACTTGATTAACTAAATATGTAGAACAATTAGTGAATGACTTCTTGTTGTTAATTGATAATTTATGCTTATAAGCTAATTAAAATTCAAATGAGGAGAGCCCCAAACTTTCCTGCGTTCATACTACCATTTCGATTGCTTTGAGTTCTCAAAATCCGAATTTGTATTGCTAACAAATTCAAATTCAGCCACAAAAAAATAGAAGTCTGAGATCACAATTTATGAAAGTCACTACAATTATCTTGAAGTTCTGTAATGACATTTTGAGAAACACGATTCATCACAACCAACTGAGATCTCGAGGTAGGAAATTTCACATCATTTAGTCACAATGAACCACTTCACCATCAATTCTTTTCTATGCATGATTCATCCTAACCAATTAAAATAGGGTTGGCAAAAAAACTCGCTAAACCCGATACCCGAAGGCCCGTCCCAAAGAGGATGGAAATCATTGCCTCAAAGTGAGTACAAGAAACATGAACCCCACCCTTACCTGCACCATTTAAAGTTCATTTCAATTTAAAGTTTTTTATTAAACAAAAACAAAAAATTATTATCATTTCCAAATCGAACATGGATTATTCGTAACAAATTGAGAAAACCAAAAAGTAACAATTTTCACCAATTAAAAACAAAAAATAAAACAAATAAAAATAAGTAAAAAATAATCGGAGCAATTAACAGGACAGGGACTTGATCGGCGTTTGACTCGTCCCGCTCAATCATAACTGAGTATCGAGACGGGATAATATGTCAAAAATATCAAACCGGGAACGGAGTTGGTTGACCCACCTTATTGCCATCTCTAAATTGATGCCACAATTCAAGAAACTTCACATCGATCACAAGAATCGAATTAAGAGGGTATTTGAGCCACATTATTTTGGTAATAATGCATTCTTGAATAGTGTATTGATGGGAAATGTGTGCTTAAAAAATAAAAAATAAAAATTGATTTGCGTGTAATATTATTTTATTGAAAAATGTGTAGTTGAAATGAAATCAAATCACTGTTTAAGAATACATTTTTTTGAAATAATGTGGCTCAAACGGGCTTTAAATAAAACAAAGAAGAAAACCAGCCTAATTGTTTTCTTGTTGGAGATTTTAACACTAACAAAAAGAAAATAAGTCCCATAAGCTGACCAATACTCCGTTGCCCAATTGCTCGGTTCAGATCAAAGGATTTTATTCAAAATTTTCTATTCATATCAAAAGCATACTCTTCACACAACTTCAAGCCTGAGAATTTTGAAGACATTTCCGTGCGTTCATAAATTTGACTGTTAATCGATTGCTTGGCAGTTGGGTTTTTAAGATCCTCTCTCTAAATTTCTTTGAATACCACCGCCAATTTATTAGATTCTTTAAATTTCCGTTTAAAATCTGGGTAAGAGTTTCAACTTAGGGATTATGTTAAGATAGGGTTGTTGAATCGCGTGCAGATTTTCGTTTTGTTTGCTGAAAGAAATCCCCCTTCTAAATACAATGGATTCTAGGAATTCGCAGGATGGAGAATCCGGCATACCTTTTATGGTAATATTTCTTAATTTTTATGTATTTTTTTGGTTCATCCTTTGATTTATTATTCGTTGTAAATAATTATCGTATTGGGGATTGAATTAATTTGAGACGTATAATTTTTTGTAATCATCTTGCAAAGGCTGATGAATATGCAACAAGGGACGATCGGCCTGGTATTCCGCAGCTATTTACATCAATGCCACCAGCTCTGAATGAGGCGGCGTTGTATCTTGCTGAAACAACTTCGATTTTCACGCGCTGTTTTACTTCTGCTTCTGGTATGCGGATAATTCTTGCTTAGTTTGCAGGATAATTATGTTCAAAATGTGAAAAAAAGGGTGTAGCACGATTGTAATTGTTGGAATGATACTTTAAGAAACATATACAAGCAATTTGCAGGATTCAAATTGTGCCAATTTGTTGTTGGTGGATAAATTGGTGCTTATGTTTCTGTGTAGGGAATGCATTAATTGGGGAACTGTTGAAAGTTCATAAATGTTGATAAAAAATTCAAAATTTCTTTTTAGAGTAGCAGCAAAGTTCAATAATTTTCGTTTTCTGAGAGTTGCTATGTTTAACACCAATTTCATTTTTTTTTTCTGTAAAGATCCTTTATTTTCATTCTTTTTCACTGTGAATTTTGGATTTAGTAATGGAGCTAGAGTTGGATGGGAATTAGAATATTCGTTTCATTAAAATGGTCACTTTATTGAAGATATTCTTATGCCACTGCCAGCTTATTGGTGTTAACTTCACTAAAATGCTTACTTTATTAGAAATTTTATGATGCCACTGTGAACTTATTGGTGATTGTGTACATGGACATTTGTGTGAGGAACAGATGCATGTACATATGCACACTTACAGAATTGAGAATGCTCGTCTCATAAAATATGCAAACTTGATATCGCTTTTGCAACATTATTATTATTTTTTTTCTAAACCATTTTCATGAAACTTCAACAACTCAACTTGCCTACAGTGGATTGACGCATTATGTGTACTGATATATCTTGTTCTTTTCCCATTCTCGTATCATTGTGTGGTCTACACTTATTGTGAATTTTCTCTCGAGATTTCAACTGGACATTTCTATATATTTCTAATTATTTGTATATAAATAACTTGGGTAAGATGAGAGCATTTATATTGGAAATTACAAGTAACTTATTGACTGATTAGAAGCCTAAATCACTGAAAAATATATGAATCAATGTGAGATTTTTTCAAGAAGCAGTTCCCTGTAATCTGGACTCCAGGGACCTGTGAACTTGAAACAAGCCAGGAAGAGTTCTGGAAAGGAAACTAGTGCAACTGAAATTTTTCATGCTTCGTTTTGTTCCCTTCTGTGATCAGTTCGTCTCCTACCATATTTTCCTATTGCTAGTTTTCCATAGATTTCTAGTGTCCCTCCGTTCTTTCCTCTTCTGCCGACCACACCTTTTCTAAAGATCAGATTCAATAAAATTGATGCATATATTCCTTTTACTTCTGTTGCAGCACAACCTGCATCTGGATACTCCGGTGGACAAGAATTGGTGACATTTTCTTCTGGAGAAACCGAAGGCTCTATAGCTAAAAATGAAGTGTCCTCAAGTGGAAGAATTTCGTCTACTTTGGAATCATTTCACACACAGGTTGATGCTCCAGCAGTCCATGGTGAATTAATTATGAGTGCAGCTGGAGAGCATTCCCAAAATTCTAACATGCTCGCGAGATCAAATAATACCAACCAAAACGGCATTCCTCTTTTTCAAGGGTACTATTCATTTAAGACCACTTATATGGATTTCATGATAGTAGATTTGAAATGTTAGCTTGATAAAAACTTTGCACAGACTTAGAGAATGTTTAGCTAAGCTTAATTTTGAGCTTCTTTTTTGCTTAAAAAAATTTAAGAATTATAGTTTTATGACTAGTTTACTTTTCTACAAAGTAGATCTTAAATTAATTTCTAGAAAAGTAACTTTTAAGCTTATCAAACATGCTCTTAGTAATCCCTTATTTGGCATGTTCATATTCGCTTTGCTAATAAATAAGAAAATTTTGTTTATAGGCTTCATCTACATGCTTGTCATATCCTGTCAATCTCTGATACCTTCATTAGATTCTTGAAGAATTCTTGTAGTTGATTGATATTTAATTAATTTTTGCACTTATTATCTTGTTCCCCTTTGCTATCAGCCTCATTGAACGGGTGAGGAAGACGGTTCGTGGTTCTGCTGATGATATTGGATGGCTACAACGAGCTGTAGAAATGCCTCCAGTTGAAGATGGAACTGGAAGATTTATGGAAATACTTGATGATATTAGGTATGAATGACATTTATCGTTTCCATATTTGTCTGACCAGATTACTATCATTTTCGAAACTGTAATTCAGTTGTAATTCCACTGTCAGGCATGGTTTGCACAAGTTGCCAAATACAATGGTTTACTTGTTGGTTCCAGGTAGCAATGCATTTCTCCCAATGATTTTTATATTAATTCATTTTCTCGTGATTCTTTATCTTCATTGTGGTTTGCCAAAGTAGTTCCAGCACAAAGCTTCCACGTTTATAGCTTTCAATTGCATTTACCCATTGTTCTGACTGAAAATATACATTATTCAGCATTCTTATCATTTGCTTCTCAACCTCCCTCCAATTTTAACTTGTAAATTCATCTAGGACACTCGGCACATCAGTGTTAGATTGGAGTCACACTGATTCTTCATTGTTTCTTCTCGTTCTTTGTCGTTATCTTTCGCCTCTACTGGTACCTTGTCCTTCTCTTTCAAATAAAGGGGAAAAAACGAAAAGAAAAAGAAAACAGAAATATCCATGACGAGTGCACACCTGAGTTGTCCTATGGTTTAGTCTTGAGACGTAAGCTGCAGTAAATTGAGAAATGGCATTCAAGGTGTAAGTTTTGAGGCATTCAATGAAGGCCTTATGTGAGGTGTGCCTCAGGCATAAGCCACTAGCTGCGTTTTTATAATCGTTTTGCACATATAGCAAGTAATAGCACAGATAATTTCTATTTTGATTTACTCTTGACAAATTTTGTTTTAAGCCTGAGCCTTTTGTCCTTTTGAAGGTCTTTTCAGCAACCATGGGCCTCTTTATTTCACTAATACAAAAACAAGTTTTTCGAAGATGGGCCTCACCTGTCACATAGCCAAAATTCACAGCGAGGTAGTTTACTGTTAGCCCTTCTAATTTACTATTATATCTTGCATTTAGTACTCATTATCAGGAACTATGTAGGCTTCGGTGGATAAGAATGCTAAAGAGATAAAAGACTACATTGAAGAAATATATTGGGGTTCTGGTAAGCGTGTTTTGCTTCTTGGGCACAGTAAAGGGGGAGTAGATTCTGCTGCTGCTTTATCCATGTATTGGGATGAACTCAAAGATAAGGTTGCTGGTTTAGCATTAGCACAGAGTCCTTATGGTGGTAGTCCCATTGCTTCGGATATACTACGAGAAGGACAGCTTGGTGATTACGTTAACATCCGTAAGGTTATGGAGATCCTGATCTGCAAAGTGATCAAGGTATTTTTTGCCTACATTATACTCAGTGATACTTAACATCTATAAATAACTGAGTATATCTGAAACAATTACATACCTACATTTCAGTTTTTCTTTTTTCGGGCTTCAATCATACCATCGTAAGGATGAAGTCTTTATTATTACTGGAAGGAAATAAATTAAATACAAACTTATGAAGACATCAAATTTGACCTTCGGTCAATGAAAGTACAAGGCAGTAAAATTAACTGTCCTGTAGATTTGTAGCTGCAGGTATAATAATCAAATAAACTCTAGATTTAGTGTGCCCTCTTCGTGCTTTGCTTCATCATTCGTTTAGTAAAATATGTTGTTGGCCAGGTGGGATGATATTATATTGTTTCTACTTTCTACGAAGTTAACGGTTGCTTACAGAGTTCACATTCTTGCCAGAAAATCTTTGCTTTTGCATGACATGCAATATTCTAATTTTGGTAGTTGTTGTGAAGGGGGACTTGCAGGCTCTAGAAGATTTAACTTACGAGAAGCGGAAGGACTTCTTGAGAAAATACCATCTGCCGAGGGAGCTACCTGTTGTTTCTTTCCACACAGAAGCCAGTATTTCTCCTGCTGTTTTGGCGACATTATCCCGTGTTGCGCATGCAGAACTGCCTGTGTTTCCTACCCTCTCTGCTGGCCAACCCACAACACTACCAGTGGTGATACCGCTTGGTGCTGCAATGGCAGCATGTGCCCAACTTCTTCAGACCAGGTATGGGGAAAAGAGTGATGGACTGGTAACTTGTCGCGATGCAGAGGTTCCGGGTTCTGTTGTGGTTCGACCGAAGCGCAAATTAGATCATGCTTGGATGGTTTATTCATCAATGAACGATGATACTTCGGAAGCAGATGCTTCTCAAGTTTGTGAGGCTCTTCTGGCTTTGCTTGTAGAGGTTGGAGAGAACAAAAAACGTGAAATTATCAACAGATCTCAATGAATTACTTGTAATTCGCTTTGTTTATTGTAATGCGAATTTGGGGTTAATTAGTAAATCAAATTGATTCATTTGTTCTTTTGAAATTCTTCTCAGTAACTTTATTTACCGGTGGCAAGTTTCTTGAAAAACTGACTCCGGCGAGTTGCCGTTCTACGGACTTGACTTGTGGTCTCCAACATGATAGTAATGCTTGGTAACTAATGTTAAGATAGTCCATTTTCACCATTTTAAGAGTAAATTTCTCTAGTTCCTATCCTACATATATAAAAGAGGCTATCAAAGTCAGGACACGTGTCAGCATTTTGTACCGTCGCCATCTTTTTTTTTTTTTTTTTTTTTTTTTTTTTTTTTTTTTCTTTCTTTCGTACTCAATTTTCCCAGAAGCTGACACAACCTTTTCTACATTTGTTCACGTAATGAACCATACTTCTCATCCATTCCACCCCCTCCCACTCCTACATGAAACCACCACAACCCATATTTCTCTCTTTCTTCACAAATTCTAAATTTAAGGTTGTGTTCAAATCCACTCCACAATCCAATACCTTCAAAATCTGACACAAAAGTTTGTCTGCACACACGGCCATACCCCCAATTCTGGCCAAAATTGCAACATCATGATGAACTCCATCACCCACATCTTATACAACCCAAGAAGAATAGTTTCATGGTTACATATCTTCAAGAAATGTTTTAAATCAAAATCTCTCTAATTTCTATGTAAGTATATGTTCATTTTATTTTCATGTAATCAATCGTTTTCTGTTTCATGAATTTTGTTTTGCCAATTTTTTCTTCTTTTGAATTAATCATCATTTTTCTTAAATTTTTACTTTTCTTTCTTTTTTCATTTATTTAATATTATAATTTATACGATTTTGGTTTCATGTGTCAGTGCTTTCCTGGAGCTTATGGTTACCGTTAATCAAGTTAGAAACCAGAGTGAAAGTGACAGTCACGCATTTAGCTTCTTGCAAGTGACGCTACATTGCCCCGAATTCGTCAGTCTGTTGTAAACGTTGTTTATTTTTTTTCCCACCATTTCTCTCCAGCTCCGTGCTACATTGCCCCGGATTTGCTAGTCTGTTGTACGCATTGTTTATTTTTTATTTTTTCCCACTATTTCTCTCTAGCTCCGTAAGCGCACGGAGCTACGTTGTTTATTATTATTATTATTTTTTCCCACTATTTCTCTATAGCTCCGTGTGTGCACGGAGCTCGTGAGCATTAGCGCGGAGCAGCGCACGGAGCCGGCACGGAAGCAGCAGCTCCGTTTGAGGCCTCCGCGCAGAGAAGCTAATCGTCTACCTTCCTTCCTCTTTTTTTTTTGTTCAATCACTTCACTCAACCATTAGTTACCATTACTTACACTTACGTGTAACAACTTTTCAAGATGATCTTCAAAATCACCATCCCCACTGCCTTAACCACGTTCTCTGTCCTCCCTTCCATTCTAAACGCTCGATTTCCTTCCATTAATTTCACCTCTCCAAGAAGAGAATGGCCATTCCACTAACTCTTCTATGGATTCCTCTTTTGATTCTTCTACAGGGCAGGGACTTGATGATTACGTAGTTTGCGTAATTCGGGATGGGTTGTTTTTGGGGAGTTGAATTGGACTTCCAGAGAGTGTAGTTATGAGGCTCTGCCTGATGTTTTCTGGGCGAGACATGATCCTACAACTCTTAATCGCCAAGTGAGTGTTGATTATTATGAGTTAATTGAGTTGGGTTCTTTATCAGATGATTAATGCTTTGAATTTTCAGCTTGGATTTCCATAATGTAGTGGACAAACAAATATGAATAGATTCAAAAAATTTCTCTTCCTTTCTTTTTCCTTCACTAAATTTTGAAGTACTATGGTTGTATACATGCATATTAAACAATCTGCACTTTCAGAGTTACAATGCATTTTTCTTTCAAATTGGTACAGGCGCACAGCATGATTTGTATACTGCAGAATAAATGCTCAGTAAGAAAATTGATAATGTGCGTTTTGAGTCAATTTTATTGCTAAACTGTTTCTGTTACAAGTATTATGTTGTTAGACTGTCTTTTTTGGCTGAAGATTTACGACATTAGATAAAGTAGTGTATCTTTACAATGAATCCCTGATACATTTTTGTCTATTTCAACTATCAAACACTTTTTCTTCATATACATACTATTTGAATTTCGTCAGTATGTGGAAAATTGGTATGGTTTCCTTGTCATTTGATGAGTAACTTCTTTATTTTAAATTGATGGGCTTTGATCCATTTTACGTGCATATCCTAATTCTGATCTTTTTCTCACATTAATTGATAGCTCCTTTTAAAATATTCTTCATATTTGTATATGTGATCTGCTTGAATCTGGAAAGACTAACCACGTGAATGAAACGTCCCCACAATCATCCCATAAAGATACAGCTGCAGCTGCCATAAAACCACAAGAGGATAGCACTGCCGAGAATCAATAATCCTCGTGGGATTTCTTTCTCCTCTTTTTGGCCTGTGTGATATCCTATAATTGAAAAATAGCTTTTGTATAATGGCAGATTTACAAGTTTTAGCAAATGGTAGTCTGGTGATAAAATGTTGCATGTCTGATGGCTGACTGGGGTTTGATTTTGCTGCTGAATTTCTGTTGGCCATTGTCACTGTTTCATTTTTTAAAGCTTAATGATATTGTTAGCGGCCAAATTTTTTGTATTTTATCACAAGCTTACTCCTTGCAATTTTATACCTTGGGCACGTATTTTCCTTTAGGATTAGTTGGATAGTAGCTTATGAATCCTACTAACCAAGCTTCAAGTCCAGTGAAGGGTTCTGCTACTAAGGGGCTACATTTTCCATGGAAGACATATAAGGCAAATAAATATGTTACCTTCGTGGTTCTGCAACCAATTTTGAGCCACCTTGGTCGATGCGAACAAGACTGGATAAGATTGCACCGGAAATTCTAGAGTCAAGATTTAAAAATTATTTTCTCTCAGATATGTTTGTATATATACATATTATGACTCCAAATTTGTGTCCAACACTGAACTTCTGTCAACAAGTCTTTATTACTTGGAGGATTCTCATTTCCTTTCTCTTGAGAAACTGGTAGAATTTTAGTTCTAACCATTGGATAGGTCTTTATTTGTTGTTTGCTTTCTCATGAAGGGTGTTGTTTGAGAAAATTTCTCAAAAGATAATTCAACTACTTCCAAAGAAACTAGAAGAAGAATAAATAATAAATGGAGAAACCATAACTCATAGCTTAATTCTTTAGGATAACATCCAAATTGACACAGATCAAGTAAAAATCAATCTTAGTTAAAACTTCAAGTAAGAGCTTCGAGCATGTTTGGCTAAGCTTAGAAAATTCACAATAAGCAAGTTTTAAAGTAAGCATTTATTTATTGGTCAAAATTTAAACAAACTTTTTAAGTAACTTTTTACTTGGAAGGAAAAAGTAAACTATCTAAATTGATATCAAAATTTCTTTTCATTTTAAACTCAATTTAGAAATCTCGTGTTGTTATGGTACGCATACAGACACCTCCATATCTCATACTTTATCATGCGGTTTAGCACTCTATATCTCCAGCCAACACCCCCATAACCTTATGCTCCATTACACTTTTTTCACGTCCATCTTTCTAAGTTTATATTGATACTAGAAAACAGCCTAAAGACTTACTTTTACATGTTTTTTGAGAGAGGCTCTAATCATTGTCTGGGATAAAGAATGATATTGGATGCACAGCATGTCTTCCCATGCTTATGAGTTAATTGTAAAAGTAAACTATACTAGTCAACTGAACCCTGATTTATACCGTTGGAGAATCACAAGTAGCATATGTAAATGTTTTGGAACCATATTTTTGTTTTGAACCTCTTTTTGCTTTCTATTTTCTAATAGTAATGCTGAAATGTCATCCTTATGCATGGAGTAGATTATGCTACATGGATGTGGTGTTGAAACAATTTTGATTATGAACCTTGCTACATGTACATTATAGTGTACACTTTAGTTTACACTTTACTGCATGGCATTACCCTATTGAACAGTTTAAATTTAAAACAGTTTTTCCATCCAATTAACACTTGACAACAATGCAAGTGTCAATCAAAATGTCAAAAATCAGTGTACAAATAACAAAGTTCTTTGATTATTCTATTTCCATAATGCAGAGTTGCAGCAACAAAAAGTCCAGTGATATTTATCGAACAAGTGAACACATGAATGAATTTGAAGTTTTTGATGCCAAACCATTTGTGAGCCGACTATTAGGTCTGCATCCTTTCTCATGGTTATACACCTTCACTTCTAATGTTATTCAAATGAATAATCTTTGCTTATCATATATGTTTTGGTTAATTCTCCTATCAAAAAAAAGATGTTTTGATTAATTCTGTTTTGCAATATACAATTTCCAATTTAATTAGGCATGGGCGACTTGTCTGGATTCATGGACAAAGTTCATGAAGTCATTCCAATAGATCAACAGACTGAGTTTCTAGAAAGGCTTAAAGAAGGAAAGTTTACGTTGAGGATCATGTTCGAGTATGTTCAGCATATACTTCAAATGGGTCCAATTGGCCAGGTCTGTCACGTGCCAGTGTTGTTGTACTAATTAGCTGCTGTAGTTTTGTAGTTGGCCTATTATTTTTTGTGATTTTACACCACTCTTCCGTTCCACCACGTTTTTCTTGATTTCTTACATTTTTTACCACATTGATTTGATGATCTTTGTGAAAATTTAGTTCAATAAGTCTCTGCAATTTTAGCAGACAATTGAAATTTTCTCTGGATTTTGAGTCTCCTAAGGAGTCACTAATATTACTTCAAAGAACTTGTAATTAAGCCATTGTCTGGCCCCATTTCTTAAAACTCATTTTTCCACCATACATTTGTTGGAATCACAACTTTTATAAGCTTTTTAACCTCACATTTCACTAACTTTCATCAAAATCTACTAAAAAAACTAATTTTTATCCAAACCAAACAAGGGCTAAGATTTATTACATTATTTAAGGAGTGTTATTCGTTGATGCTTTAATTGAGGAATTTGGTGGGAAGTGGGATGATTGGGATGCGGTTTTATTTATTTTCTTTTCTTTTCTTTTCTTTTCTTTTTTCAGTGAGCATTATTTTGAATTTCTCCTCTAAACCCACTTGCCCAACTCTTTGTGAGGAGTGCTTGGCTAAGTTGTCTTGCTCTCCAACTTATATTGGTCTGTTATTGATTCCAATGCTTGAAACTCGCCTAACTCGGCCAGGCTATTTTTAAGCAGATAAATTGTCCTTCTTTAAGTTCGAAATACTTCTGATTCTTGAGTTAATTTGCATGTTTCAAATTGTTATATTTTCATAGATAGATCATCATAATTGTTAGTCGTGAGCTATAATTATCTGTAAATGGCTTTTATTCTTCGTTTTCAAAAGCTTTGCTTCCTTGAGCCTGTCAATTATTCTTCATGTGATCAATCAAAAACTAATGAGAAGAAATCAATTGAGACACCCAAAGTTGAGATTGAAGATCAAGGTGCTGTTTATGCTGTGCTAGAAGAGAACCCGAAAAGGAAGAAGTAGAAGAAACAGCCCAAAGAATGGAGGTGCATGGATTTATGTTGTTGGATGATTGGGTACATGTGCACTACTTGGTCGTTGCTCTTGTTTCTATTTCATCGTTTGCCCTTTAATTTGCCTGGACTTAAGGTTCCTGAGCCTCCCGGATTGAGGCTGAAGCGTGAAGGCCTCAACGCGCTCCATCCCATTTTTTTGGTGCTCGGCATTGTCACCGAAAGACTGGAGCTCTGGGAGGGAAAGCCTTTTTTGCAGGCGGCTTTAGGGGATTAGCTTTATAGAGACTGATAAGTGTAGTTTCTACACTTATTTGAGATCTTAAATGATGATATTTTGTTATTCTTTGAACGGATTAGTACCTAATTTGTTATTTATTGCTTTTATTAGGAAAAGTTCATGTTTCAAAGAAGAATTGGAAAAAAAGAACGGAAAATGGCTAAATGAAGCAAATTCAAAGTATGTGGACCAAAGTGTAAATATTTAATAGTTGATTTTGACCACAAAAGATATTTTGAAGATTGATAGGAGTCAATTGAATGCAAATTAGAGTGAAAAAGTAAAGAATGTAATTAGAATATTACCATAAATCGACTTCCAATCATATAGAATATTTTCAAGATTTTTGGCCAACTTGAGACCCATTTTCGGATGGAGAACGTTTGAATTGGAAACATTGTATTTCTAGAAGAATTGTAGATCTTTTAATTAGCTTTCCAATGCACTTTGAATTACCTGAATCCGAAATCGAAAGAGAAAGTTATGATCAAAATATTAAAGGCTATGTAAGGACAAAATTATGTGCGCGCGAAGGCAACTTTCATTATTTGATTCAAACTCTTTTGGAAGACAATTTGGACGTGAATTTTGACATAATTTCATCATATTAATACAAGATATGGGCAGCAATGAAAGGGTCTCTCTCTTGCCTCTTCATACACAATAGTTTCATCAAATCCATCAAGAACAAGGGACAAATTGGTATATTTTGAGAGAGAAGATCAAGTCATAGTAAGGAATTGAAATTCAATTACATCAAGTTTTGAAAAATTCAACTTTGGACGTGAAGATCAATATCTTTTATATTCTTTCATGACCCGAGTGATATTTTTCTATTATTCTTATTGTAATTTATGTATTAATATGTTAGGCTAATTTTTCATTGTATTGGATGAGATGAACCCTATTATTTATTTATTTTAATTTAAGACAAGTATTTAGTTTAATTCGTGTGTTACTTGATTAATTTTACATTCTCATTGCACTATTGAATTATCTGGCCACCAATTGAATAGTTAGTTGCTTGTTGTAGTGTAAATATACTCACAACGAGTCTAGAACGCGGCAAAATTAACATGTATAGTTAGGATTAGGAATAATATCTATCATACATGCAATCATATTGATAACTTAAACTAAATGCATGATTTTCATATGAATTCGGACTATGAATAGGGTCGGGTCGTGTTAATCATAGGTTGGTGTATCTTGGAAAAAAACATTTAACATATTAGTGTTATAGATTGTCAAGAACTCGTGAAAGAAATTAGATTACGAATCAAGAATTGAAATAAATAGCAATAGGCGGAGTCAAAATCCAATACAATCCTCCATAATTTGATAAAACCCCATTTTTTATTGCTTTCTTAGATTAGTTTAGTTTAAATCAAATCAAAATATTTATTTTGTTTTCATAACTAGAATTTCATACGAAACTAATAAATTAAATTTATTTTCTGTGGGACGATAACTCTTAATTCACTTATTATTACTTGTCAACGATCCCGTACGCTTGCGGGTATCACACAAACAAGTTTTTGGCGCCGTTGCCGAGGAATAAAGTTTTAGTTTTAGTTTATAAGTTTGCAATGGATTTGAATTTTTTATTATTTTCATTTTTATTTATTTATTATTTTTGTTATTTTAGGCTTTAATCGTGATACCTAATTTTTTCTTACTTTACTCTTAAGGCTTTTACTAGATCTCGAATTCGAAAGGACCTTTAAACAACGTTAAGAAAACTAAGAAGAACGAGGATAATGGCTGAGAATCAAGATGAGATTCAAAATGCACTGCAGAATGCAGCACTTCAGGTTCAACAACCACCTCCAGCTCAGCCTATATTGGTTAGAGATTATGTGAATCCAGTACCTGCATCCATTCAACCTCCTATTGTCTATCCACCGTTCGAACATGCAAACTTTCACATCCGACCAGATGTCATAAATCTTTTCCAGAATCATCAAGACATCAAGTTCAGCGGGAAAGCTACGGAAAATCCACACGAACATATTCAAGCTTTTACCATGCTTTGTGATGTCATTAGCCATGAGGGGATGTCACAAGACGCATTCCGAATGCGTTTATTCCCTCACACTTTGAAGGAGGGTGCAAAAATATGGATGATGTCACAACCCCCTGGAAGCATCGTATCGTGGAATGGCATGATACAAAAATTTATCATGAAATTCTTCCCACTATCTTGAGTCCACCAAATCAGAAACGAAGTATATCTTTTCAGACAAAAGGATCATGAGACATATCCGGAAGCATGGGACAGGTTCAAAAATGCGTTTAGGAAATGTCCAAATCCTGATGTTCCTAAACTGGCACAAATATATATGTTCTATAATGGACTGCGAGTTGAATCTCGAAATATAGTTTATGCTTCTGCGGGTGGATCAATTTTGACTATCGAGGTGGATGATGCACATAATTTATTTGAGAGGATTGTTGAGAATCAGGCCAACTGGCTAACAGATAGGGAAGCTCCGAGAAAAAATAGCTGGATTGCATAATGTGGACGCAATGACAGCATTGGCAGCGCAGATGGAAGCAATAACAAAGAAGCTTGATACTTTAACTCAATCTGTGCTCATGGTACAACATCCAGCTCTGGTATGCGCAGGTTGTGGGGCAGATCACATCACTTCAAGCTACCCTTTGGCTTCTACTCACAAGGGTCAATCAGCGGAGGTTAGTTATGCGCAGAACTATTAGAGGCAAAATGGATCTTACCCATACAACTACCATCCGGGTTTGAACAAGCATCCCAACTATTCGTGGGTGGATAATCCAGATCAAGTAAATCAGATGAAGGACAATCCACCAGTAATTCAGCAACAGCAAGGTAAGAGGCAATCCTTGGAAGATCTACTGGTCACGTACATCACCAAGACTGAAACAGTAATGTAGAATCAACAAGCTTCCATACATAACCTAGAAAATCAGGTGGGACAGATAACAGCTGCATTAGCCAACAGACCACTAGGTACCTTGCCGAATGACACAGAGAAGAACCCAAGGGAGCAGGTATTAGCAGTTGAGGCGGTAAATTATGCAACTATTGAGCTCCCATCTACCTCATCCACCACCCCCGTCAAAGCTTATGTGCCACCCATTCCATTTCATCAAAGACTTCAACGCCAGCCAACAACAGAGCAGGTTCAGGCCATCACTACTAGGAGTGGTATTCAATTGCCAGAAATCACTGTAAAGAGGAAGGAGACAGAGAGAACTCAAATGCCTACTAAGGATAAAAAAACCAATGGAGCAATCTGAAGAAGCAATAGAAAAGGACCAACAGATAGTTTCAGACAATCCACAGCTTAAGGCAACTGTTCCTGGCACTTCACTGACACCTCTGGTCCCTTTTCCTCAAACGTTACAGAAGACCAAATTGGAGAAGCAAGCTATAAAATTCCTGGAAATCCTCAAAAAGTTGCATGTCAACATCCCATTCATTGACGCTATCCTTCAAATCCCAAACTATTCTAAGTTTTTGAAGGAGATGCTGACTAAAAAGAGGAAGATGCCCGAGCATGAAACAATAACACTATCTGAAGAGTGCAGCGCGATCATCCAACACAGGATCCCTCCCAAACTTAAAGATCCAGGGGATTTCGCTCTACCTTGCTCTATAGGAAACTTACAAGGTATTAATTGTTTAATTGATTCAGGAGCAAGTATTAACTTAATTCCTTTGCCTCTTTATAGGAAATTGGGATTAGGAGATTCCAAGGCGGCTTCTATCATCCTTCAACTAGCGGACCGAATATTGAAACATCCCTATGGAATAGTCGAGGACATGCTCATCAAGACGGGAGAATTTATTTTTCCAGCTGACTTTATCATTCTAGATATAGAAGAGGCATCCCAAATTTCAATAATACTAGGAAGGCCATTCCTGTCAACAAGTCGGGCATTACTTGATTTTGATACAAACGAGATAGTCCTGAGGGTAGAGGATAAGCAACAAAGCTTCACCATAGAGAATCCAATCAAGCAACCATCATATTTTGAGGATTGCCAACGAGTTGATCACTGGGAGAGTTACAAAGGCCAGCTAGATGTAGGTGGAATTGTTAGTAGGGATAACAATGGAAACTTGATCATGTGGCGGATGAAAGATGAAAGAAAGAAGTGCAACCAATGTTTAAAATGCAGGGCTGAAAATTCTCTTTTCAAGCCACCATGAAGAGCCTAAAAGCAACAAAGTCTAGCTAAAGACTATAAATTAAGCGCTTGTTGGGAGGCAACCCAATAATTCTATCCATTTTATTTTATTTTATTTTACTATAATTAGAATAACTTAAGATAATTTAAATTAAATTTTATTTTAGGGACTCATCATCCATACTACATTTTCTCTTAGGTCTTTGAGATTTAGTGGTTTATTTGATGTTTGGGTTAAGTAACACATATTCTAGGTTATGTAGAACCCCCAAATAATTTTAAACACCTTAGTGGCACTAAGACATGAATATTGGATGGCTAAAGCATACTTCAGATTTTTAGTCTCATTTGAGACCCATTTACAACATAGAAAACATTCGATTTGAAAAATGATATCTAAAGAAAAGTTGTAGCTCTTTGAGTTAACTTTCCAACATACTTTGAATTACCTCAATCGGATATTGGGAGAAAAAGTTATGATAGAATACTAAATGCTGTACAGTGTCAACCGAAGTACGCGGAATATGAAAAGTCAAATTCCTACACGATTTTCTAGCATCTTCTTAAATCTATAACTCCCACATAAATGGCACCCGTATTAATGAGTATTAGGCCCTTCACTTGCCCTTAAGTTGTGAGATTTTCACCTATAAATAGGCCCCAATACATACAAAATTTTCACACCAAGACAAAAGCTTCCAAACATAAAAGAGAGAGTTTTCAAGTCTAGAAAAAAAGGAGATGGAGGAAAATTAGTTTTTCCTAGAAGTTTTGGTGCTATCAAGAAGTGTTTTCCAAGCATCAAATTTTCAACGGAGTATTTTTTGAAACATCAAAGGAGTGCATTTTTCAACAAGGTTCAAAGCATCAATCAAGGTAGGTAGAGGTGCAAAGTGTTAATTCGTGTTAAGTTATAAGTTTCTAACAAATGAAGATTTATGTTAATGTTTGTATGTCTAATGGTACCTCCGGTACGGCATACACCTCCATGTCTAATGGTACCTCCGGGTACGGCATGTACTTCCGATCGAGACGTCGTGTTAAGTCATGACTCTACGTGTTTGAGATTCTATCGAAAATCTTACTATGAAAAGGTTTCTAAAGTTACGATTTTGAAATGTATAGCTTGATCACGAATGCACCAATGATATCTATTGAGTTTTCTTAACTCACGGGTTTAACCCCTTATCTACAGATTGATATGATTCTACATTGGGCCTGGATGATGGAAAAGATGGAGAGTGGTGCAACGAACCCATGGAAAACCCAGTGAACAAGTTATTTAGATTTATTTTTTTGAACGTTTTCAATGTTATTTCTTTAAAGTATTTGAATAACGCTGAACGTGAGAACAAGTTGTATTTTCTTCAAATAAATTACGTTCCATTATTTTTTATTCAGTGTTTTATTTAAAGTACTCGAAAGGTTGTTGTTAAAATTATCATTGTAAAAATTAAGTTTCCGCTAAAACATATTCTCGTATGACTAAATCACCGGTTAGTTAAGTAAAGTAAGTAGCGTTCCGATCCACAAGGGGTCGGGGCGTTACAGGTTATTTGATCTATAATTTTTTATTTAACTGCCATATGCAGGAACATGATGTCGCAAAACACTCAAATCAACATAGATCAAGGGGAAAACGTGATGAAGGAGAATGTCTAACAGCTACCCAAAGTGCATTCTACGTTCAACAGGAAAATTCGGAGAGTACCTTCTTCCTTTCATTCCCCGTCCCCTTACATTCTCAATTATATTTTAAGACATTGAGGACAATGTCAAATTTAAGTTTGGGGTGGGAAAAACTTATTGGGGTTTTTGATTTTTGTATGTTTTTGTGTGTTTCTTTAAAAAAAAATAAAAATAAATAATAATTCGTTAAAATTTCTATTTTTGTGCGTTAAAAAAAATTATTATCTATTTATTTATTTTTGTTTGTTTGTGTGCTTATGTGGGTTAGACAATTTGTCTGACTATAATGATTAAATTTGAGGTTTGATATTGATTTATGAAATGTGGATAAGATGCATGCTAAACTAATTGAAGCTCAACGTTGCAAGACTTGATATTATACATGCACTAGAATTGGATTTGACATTGTGATTAAATGAATTGATTCATATGCTTGATAGGTTGATTTAATCGGACATAGACGCTTTACCCATACCATACAAATTATTTATTTTTAGACCAAATTTAGCACAATTTGGGGGTGATTTTGCTGTTGCAGAAAGATACGGATGTGGACAGGGATTTCATGTGTGAAAACTTATGTGTGGATTGTCTTAGACTAACAGGATAAAATTGGGTGAAAGTTTTGAGTTGGAGGTCGATTTGATTGAATAAGTGTGTGATAAGGGGCATTGTACTAATCAAGGCATATATTTTGAAATTTAAAACTTCTCTCTAAAGTCTTTATGACTCAAGTAAATAAGCCTACAAGGGTATCTTAAAAGTTGATGCCCTAAAGTCGTCTGATTTGGGAGTCATCGACCTAAAACTCGTTACAGGGGTCATTTAGAAAGCAATCAGAAATGAAGTTGCACTTAAAAAAAATAAAAAAAAAATTGTTCTCTTTGAATCCTTTTTTACTCGGGTTATGAAGTTTGTAAGGATATCTTAAAATCTGGTGCCCTAAAGTCATCTGACTTGGGAGTCATCGGCCTAAAGCCTGCTACAGAGATCATCTAGAAAGCTTAATGAAGAGAAAAAAAGCTCTTAAAAATCAGAAAAAAGCAAGTGCATGAAAAAAGCAGAAACACTAATACCTTGTTAAGTCTTAACACTTATTCGAGAAAATTTAACTTTTGATTAAAGATAATTAGCCTAATTGAGTTTTGGCGGTCGAAGCAATCAAATTAATTGAGAATCCTTGTTCATTGATATATTGACTTGCAACTAGTGATGTCCACCTGAACTAGAAAGAGTAAGGATAGTAATAAAAAATTCAACCTTAGATCACATGCTGGGAGAATAGTGAAAAAGAATAAATTTAGGGGTGTGTGAATTTTACGAGAGACGAAATGATATATTTAATCATAGAGGGTCGGGAATTGAAACAACTTGTGAAATCGTTAATATCTACTTAATTTTTCACACACACGTTGATTTTGCATTGGAAGAGTAGATATTGGTTTGGTATTGTGACTTTGAAGCAGTTTATAGATTTAATACGGTGATCTCGAATTCTGTGGTAAAAAGCTAGATTGTCCAACCAAATATTTTTGCATGCCTGTATGTTTGTTATTATTTATGTTATATTTTTGTTTGAGGACAAACATAAATTCAAGTTTGGGGGTTTGATAAGTGTAGTTTCTACACTTATTTGGGATCTTAAATGATGATATTTTGTTATTCTTTGAACGGATTAGTACCTGATTTGTTATTTATTGCTTTTATTAGTTCATGTTTCAAAGAAGAATTGGAAAAAAAGAACGAAAAATGGCTAAATGAAGCAAATTCAAAGTATGGGGACCAAAGTGTAAATATTTAATGGTTGATTTGGACCACAAAAGATACTTTGAAGATTGATAGGAGTCAACTAAATGCAAATTGGAGTTAAAAAGGAAAGAATGTGATTAGAATATTACCATAAATCGACTTCCAATCATATAGAATATTTTCAAGATTTTTGGTCAACTTGAAACCCATTTTTGAATGGAGAACGTTTGAATTGGAAACATTGTATTTCTAGGAGAATTGTAAATCTTTTAATTAGCTTTCCAATGCACTTTGAATCACCTGAATCGGACACCAAAAGAGAAAGTTATGATCAAAATACTAAAAGCTGTGTAGGGACAAAATTATGTGCGCGCGAAAGCAACTTTCCTTATTTGATTCAAACTCTTTTCGAAGATAATTTGGACGTGAATTTTGACCTAATTTCATCAGATAAATACAAGATATGGACAGCAATGAAAAAGTCTCTCTCTTGCCTCTTCATACACAATAGTTTCATCAAATCCATCAAGAACAAGGGGCCAATTGGTATATTTTGAGAGAGAAGATCAAGCCATAGTAAAGAATTGAAGTTCAATTACATCAAGTTTTGAAAAATTCAACTTTGGACGTGAAGATCAACATCTTTTGTATTCTTTCATGATCCGAGTGATATTTTTCTATTATTCTTTTGTAATTTAGGCTAATTTTTCATTGTATTGGATGAGATGAACCCTATTATTTATTTATTTTAATTCAAGACAAGTATTTAGTTTAATTCGTGTGTTACTTGATTAATATTGCATTCCCATTGCACTATTGAATTGTTTGGCCATCAATTGAATAGTTAGTTGCTTATTGTAGTGTAGGAATACTCACAACGAATCTAGAACGCGGCAAAATTAACATGTATAGTTAGGATTAGGAATAATATCTATCATACATGCAATCATATTGATAACTTAAACTAAATGCATGATTTTCATATGAATTCGGACTAGAAATAGGATCGGATCGTGTTAATCATAGGTTGGTGTATCTTGGAAAATGACATTTAACATATTAGTGCTATCAATTGTCAAGAACTCGTAAAAGAAATTAGATTACGAATCAAGAATTGAATTAAATAGCAATAGACGGAGTCAAAATCCAATACAATCCTCCATAATTTAATAAAACCTCATTTTTTATTGCTTTCTTAGATTATTTTAGTTTAAATCAAATCAAAATATTTATTTTGTTTTCATAACTAGAATTTCATACGAAACTAGTAAACTTGAATTAAATTTATTCTTTGTAGAACGATAATTCTCAACTCACTTATTATTACTTGTCAACGATCCCATACGCTTGCGGGTATCACACAAACAGAGACTTTCAAGATATTTGAATTACATAATTGGATTTTGTTTTATGTTTTAGTTTTACATACTATTTTGCTCCTGGATATTTCGTATGGGCTATTCTTATAGAGAATTTGGCACACATTGGCTATGAGGGGAAGAATATATGTATATGGCTGCTTATATATGTCCACAAAGATTTTTCCACTAAGAGTCCAATGTTCATGTTGTACAAAGTATGTCAGATGGAATTTCATTCTCTACATGAAGGGTATCGTTATAGTTGTACCTTTCATGTGTAAAAATCTGGTTTTCCTTTTTAACATATGAACGCTAGAGAATTGAGACTGTATGAATATTTTTTAGAATTTCTCTAAAATTTACATTTACTTATTTTTAACATTAATTAATTAACGTGTAACACACGTTAACCCCACTAGTTTTCATAAATGTTGTTACGATTTCTTTAATTTTTCATGTCTCGACCTTGTAACATTGTGCGTGCAATATTCTCACATGGTAAAATTCATTTATTTAGGTGATAAATTGTCTCGTTACGTTTGATTATAAGGATAAAGTTATTTCATTTAAAGTAAATTGAAAAGTCGTCGTTTTTTCGAATTAAGCATTATGTGACTTTCTTATTGATATTTAACGAATAAGTATATATTATGAGTCACGTGAGGATATTGTTGACATAGATGAGAATATAGGTGTCACAAATGAAATGTTGTAGAGTGGAAACGCCTAAAGGTTGAGAAAAATAGAAGAAAGTTGATTAAAGTAATAAGCTCGTCATTTGGGCTGCGGAGTTGGCTCTAGTATTTTTTTCTTTTCTTTTATTTTTTATTTTTATTTTTATTTTTTTTTCGTGCAAGACATGTAGGGTAATTATATACACGTTATCCAATATCAAAAATATATATAAACGTGTATTTAAAGTTCATTGAACAATGTGACAATCACATTACTATCACATAGATCGGTGATAATCTAAGCTCTATAAATATATAGGATTATTCATTTAATGTTATCTTGTTTCATTAGTACTTCAATATCGATCAAAATAATCTCACTTAATAGGCCAAATTAATTAAGTCATGTATCTTTGCATTTAAATTAATCAATTAATTAATGTCATTTACGGTGTCACCAATGATTTAAAAAACAGTTTTTGACAATTTAAAAAATGGATGAATGTGATAATACCAACAAAGGTTATCATTCATTATTGTATGAATAAAATTGTACAAGTAGCATAATTGATTACTTTTCCTCATTAACATTTAAATGATGTCAATAACTAAAATATTCAATATAATAAGAATAATTTAAATAATGGTGTATTGAAACTTTTAATTTTATCAAGCATAATCATGGTATAACACATATAAAAGTGAGTTTAACTCTCCAAATATATATAGTCAAATTCAATCTTTTTACTTTTAAAAATTTAAATAAAGATTAATTACTTTTAAAGAATCTCTTGAAGATCTGGTGAAGTCAATCTGGCCCTTAACATAAATATTAAGTATAAGCGTTTCAATCTAATAATTCAACTAATAAATGATTTGAAGCATATCTCATTCTTGGGCCCCGCGTTATATGTTTATGTTTGGTGCAAATTCATTAAAATTCATTGTAGATCATAATTTATTTATTTATTTTTTTAAATTTTTAATCACATATGCTTCAAAATTCATTTTTCACAAAATTTACTTTTAAAAAATACCGAATACAAATTATAAATTCAATATAAACTTGCAGGTTAATCTTAGTATTAATTAGCCTAGACCCCTATTTACTTTTTTATGCTTACCAAAGAATTAGGTGTGCCTCTATGGGGACTGGGGTGTGGGTTAGGGGGTCCCTATTGTTAAATCTTTAAATTAAAAAAAGGTTGAACCACAACCTTGAAGTTTTTCACCGCTCCGTCCCTAAAGTATCGTGAAGGAAGTAAATCGTGAGATGTACTCCAGCAGGCAAGACAACAAGAGTTTGCCCATACATTGGTACCCACAAAGAGTCCAATTCCATATCTCAGGAATCGAACTCTCATACAGCGGCTATCAGTAAGGTTGAGACTATCTCACTCGTATCCTTTGCATCACTGAATTATGCCTCAGAGAGCGTGAAATCTTTAAAATAGCATATATGTAATGTAAGCAAGATTTTGCTGGGGCCAAAGAGATCAACTTAGTTGTTCATTTACTGGACTATCAATCAGATAGTGATATTTAGATCATTAATCTCTAACAAATAGTGCTTTAAACATATATATTTATTGTTTTCAATCTTTACGAAATGTAACAAATTTACCGTTAATCCCTTTTTAGCATAATTCATCATCGACCTTTCAATAATGTTTTGCTACATAATTGAAGGTTGGGATGAATTATATTAAAAAGTTAAAAGTAGATTTGTTATATTTAGCAAATATTAGGAATGAAAAGTGCAAATTTTCCATTTTGATAAATAAAACGACATAAAGTGAAAGAGTGACAAAGTAAGAAATGCATTTTATATGTGAAAACATGATTTCAAAATGCTGTAAATGTAGTTACTGCATGAGTTATTGAAGACAGTAATTCGACGAATGAGAAAATTGTTTACTTCTATTTATATATAGCACTCCCATAAAAATGGATCTTCAAGCTGGAATCCTATATCGTCTCCATCTAGCCGCCATGAAGAAGCTTCAGGGGAAAGATCCGGCAGGTCAAAAAAAGGGTCATCATCACCAGTTGAAACGGAACAATTGGATGATTCTTGAACATTTTCCAATGCCAAATTCGTTGAAGAACGAGAACTGGTCAGCTTGGCTTCAACTTCAGTGGCGGTGCCGTGATTGTGGTGGCTGATGGGGGTGGCAGCTGCTGCTTTCGCAGCTGCGGCTTGGATGTCCTTAGGTGAAGTGGAGACAGGTTGAGGGAGTTTATGAGCTAAATGAGGGAAATTGAGATAAGCTGAGTGGCCTTTAATGGCTAAGGCTGCTACATCGTGAGCTCGAGCCGCCATTTCGGCTCTGGGATAAGTGCCAAGCCATATTCTTGATTTCTTCTTTGGCTCTCGAATTTCAGACACCCATTTCCCCCAACTCCGCTTCCGAACGCCTCGATAAGTGGGATGATTTTGGTCACGACGGCGTTTAATGTCCTCACTGCCACTTCTCTGATCTCCTTGAACTGTAATTTTACTTTTTTTACCTTTGCATGAAGAGTTCGAGGTGGAGGAAGAGGACTTGTTGGACGGAGATGAACTCAATCCACCGCAAGAGGCAGCGCTGGTGGCGGCAGAGGAGGACGAGGAGCAAGTGAAAGTGATGGTGGAGGTGGAAGAGGAAGAAAGGTAGTCTAGAGCTAGACTCGCCAAGATGATTTTCCGTTCCATGATAAAATGTCTTATGGGAAGCCACAGCTAGAAAAGAATGTAAATATTGGTACATTAAAGTAGTTGAATATATATATATATATATATATATATATGTTCTTTGTTAATAACTTGCTATGATATTTCAATTTTCAAGCAAACTCATTTTTAATTATACATTCTTCTAATAAAATAATTTTGTACACGAATTCATAATTTTTTTTCCTACTTTTCGATCACATTTCTCAAAAAATGTTTTTCACAAAGTTTATCAAGACCACTTTTTGGCATCATATTGATAAACTACGGGCATCCATTTATTTGTCTCATTCTAAAACCATGAATTTCACATGAAAAGTGGCTAGGAACCCTTGTAGGGCTATTAGCAATCATAGATGGTGATTTCCCACTAGGAACATATACCCCCGTGAATATGCTATATTTTCTTGAAAATTTAAGGCAAGTTGGATCTTGGAAAATGATATTCATTTCAATTTGTCTTCACATAATACACATGGATCACATGCCAGTGGGTCCTGCCTAAGATTTTCTGGACAATCTGTTGAATGGAAGACCAGTTTAATCCTAGTTTTCTAAAGTGGCCAAATTATGTTTTTTTCTTTCATAATTTTCTGTTTTTTGTTAAAGCAGGTGAAAAAAGATTTTGCCACATGTACATCACGACTCACAGTTTACACCCAAGGTGTAAATTCTGATGTACGTGTAGAATAATTCGGTGAAAAAAGCTAGTAATTTTTATTTGAGACAATTAAGGTTGTTAACATCATAATTGTCTGGACAATTTTCTTTCAACATTGGCCAAGGCAGATTGGATCCGCTGAATGAATTAAGTTGTGTGTGTGTGTGTGTTTTTTTTCGTGACACACGCTAGATAAATGTACCCTTGTAATTAGAGCCGAAGAAAGGAGCAATGGTGATCGTATGTCCAATAAATAATTCTATTTGTATGCCCAAAGGTGTACCGAATTGTTTACCCTCTCTCACATGCACGCAGGACCCCTCGTGAATAAAAAAATCCCAAAATGTGATTTCCAATCCCTATTATGAGTAGTCGGTAAGAAATTAGATTAAAATAAATAAAAAATAAATTTGATACATATAGCATGGTCCATGTCCAATAGTCAAGTTAGATTATGTGTTTGGAAGATACTTTCTTGAATTTATTTATTTTGTGAGGTTGAATTTTGCTAATTGTAGAGTTGAAAGGAAGAAGCCTCCCATTTTATAACAAAATGATATTAAATGTGAAAATTTTTATAAATAGGCAGAAGCACTATCAGAAAATTTGCTGACAGTGAAGGTAATTTTCAGTGTGCTTGACAGCTTGCCATTGAAAATCTTCAATAGCTTGCCAAAGATTCTACAATTGCCGTCATTTTCAAAGACTTGGATTGGTGATTATCAATGGATTATAGTCCATTGGAAATCATTGACGGCCTTCATTGACTATTGTTTATTTCTATTTTTCGCTTAAATCTCCCACAGAATGCTAATTTCCCTTGGTCACGGTTCGGGGGGAAGAAATGAGCTTCGTGATGGTGGGGAAGGGGTCGAAAAGGTGCCATTGGTTGTTGATGTTAAATTCCGATCACAGTCAAAATGTTTGAGAATCTTCAAATTTTGTAACATTGGAATTAGATATGTTTTTTGTTGTATAGTTGTTCAAAAAATAATAAATGAACGTGGAATGAAAAATGGAATCGGAGGCCAAAAATGTTGAACTATGCGACCACATAGACCATAATGACGTGCGATTACAGTCATATGCAGGGCTCAAAGCCATGCTGTTGAATCAACTATGCAGTCGCATAGGTTTTGCAAGCTTATGCGACCGCATAGAGCATCAACTAATTGTTAATGACCGTTTTGGTTGGAATTTCTAGTAGCTTTTCAAGTGTTTTGGCACCACTTCGTGTAGCCTTGGATGATGGCTATAAATAGGTGGTTAGTGATCAATGAAATCACACTCTAAAACATATAGCTACACTTGATATTATTTCCTCATTCCAAAAAGTATTGAAATTCATTTTTCTTCATATTCTGATTTTATATTCTCAAGTTTTAGAGGATTTCATCTCAAATGTTAAATCCTTGTCAATTCTTGATAAATCCTACAAATCATTTGCCAAAATCCCTTCAAGAATTTAAATTCAATTCAAGAGAGAGCAAATATCGTTTAAAAACAACGATTATGTGTTCGGGGCTTCATCTTCACGTTCGTTTCTTGTTTTTTGTTATTTATTTCTTCTCCATCCCTTTGTGAAAATAATATTTTCCAACAATCTCAAACAATAGTAATTGCAATGGAGAACGAAACCATTATAGCAACGATCAAATTGATGAATCAAGATCTCATTTGTTTGGACCGTTTTGATGGCCATTGGTTGTTGATGTTAAACTCCTACGATAGTCAAAATGTTTGAGAATCTTCGGATCTTCTAACTTCGGAGTTAGATATGTTTTCTTATGCATATATTTTTTGTTCAACTTCCAAGGCCCACACGTAATATTATAATTGCACCTTAAAAGTGGGAGAATTGTTTAAGCAAAAATCAATCATCCTAAATTAAGGAGAAAACCCATCACCGTATTTTTTGTGCAGCTGCATATACTATTTACTATGAGGACAACATTCCGTCATCAATTTGTGTCCCAAGTTCTATCTTCTGTGTTGGATTTTGATGCCCAATAAATTTGGGTGATGATGTTAAGACTTAAAACGGCATTGGATAGTTTGTATCAAAATACCTTAGTGAAAGACTCGATCCAAAAACAACTTGGCCCATTGGAAGGGATTTAAGTAATTGAAGTTGCGGTGTGCAATAGAAGAGAATGGTAAGATAGCCGTCTTGGTGTTTCATTGAGGGTTCAACCAGGGGCGGACCGGGGGGGGGGGGTTTGTAGGGGCAATTGACCCTCTAGATTTTGGGGAAAAAAAAAATTTTTGCTTAGGTTTTTTTTTTTTCTTAGCTTTTTTTTATTAGAAGATACCCTATAAATTTTATTTTTGACCCCCTAACCCAAGTCTTCTGGGTCCGCCCCTGGGTTCAACCATTGCTCCTCTTTTCTTCCTCCCTTTGTTATATTGCTACCTTAATCTTCTTCCTTTGTGGATGCTCTTGTGGCAACCAAGTGTTGAAAGTTGTGGGTCATGTCTCCTCGACTGGTGTTCGTTTGGTGATAAAATTGAGCCTAGTTTCAAAATTTCTAAGGAATTCCGCTTACATTCTCAACAAAGGATAAGTGAATTTTTGGAACGCAATACCGGACAAGATTTGACAATATGGTGTATAAGTTTTAACTTCTTTTTCCTTCCTACAAAACATATAAACCTATTATAAATTTAATGAACTGAATTCAAGTGAAGAAAATGATCTATACCTTGATGAAAGTAAGATGTAGAAAATATCTCCACGTCTAGCTGTTAAACAAGCCTGAACCCATGAGGCAATACCTGTTAGAACGTCCTTTTTGGTACAAAAGAAATAGTGATAACTAGTCGATAATGTAACTGGATACTTTTTTAATCTAAATTCGAAAATCTAACTACTGACACAGTTCTTAAGATTGAATCGTCACCATTGTGATGGGCTTGGAAGTGGGTCGAGGTGATTAAACATGTCCATTGGAGGGAAGTCATCGATGAAACTGTCCGGGGTTACTGCATTGTGATTTTCTCCCTGTCCTGTAGTTTGAGAGCCTCCATCTGGTCCAAAACACGATGGCAATATAGGAAATGGTCCATTGCCCAGTTCGGTACCACTTCCTTGTCCAAAGACATCATAAAAATTAGGATCTCCAAGTCTAGTGATGAAGTCTTGGCTTTCTAGGGACAAAGAATAGTCTGACTGAAGTTGTGGAATTTGAGGAAAGCAGAGTTGTAATTGCTGTTCTTCATATGATTTCTTGTCAATGGCAGGTGTGAACTCAAGTTGAAAAGGGCTCTGTTCAAAGTTGAGTGAACCGGAATACACCAACCCTTGTAACGGCACCATTTTGATTGTCTCGGAATAATCAATGTAGGATGATGAGGATGATTGTGACTTGATTATTGATTCTTCCTCTGTCGACAAGCTGAATTTTGGTGCCTGAGATTGAAAATACCCAGATAATTTACACAACCGAAGGACTTTATGTAAGAGTCGAATCAGCCAAAAGAGAATTTGGAATCAGAATTGGTGGAAGCTTAGGTAGTGGTTGGTTTAAGTTTTCATTTTCCACTTTCATTTTCAAAACGATTTTTAGTTTTCTTCAAAAACGACCCGTTTTCCGCATTTTGAACGTTTTCGACATTTATAATTGAAAACGATAAAAAGTCGTTTTGCGTTTTCAGTTATAAATTTTAACTCGTTTTCGAAAATGCGTTTTCGAAAACGACGGACCAAACGCGTTTTCCATATTTTCGAAAACGGAAAATGGGTCGAAAATGGCAAACCAACCACGGCCTTAGTTTCCATTTGAGTTGTTCTTTGAGTGTGTTTAGTATGTTTAATCATAATAGCAGGATAATAGAAGTGTCTCCATTGAGTTCCCTACCTCATATCTCAAAAGCTATACTACTTGTTTTACACTACTATGAGAACAAGAAATCAAATAAACAAAGTACAAACTGTTTTTCCCAAAAATACAACTAAGACACAACCACAGGCGTCTCAGAATTAATGCCATAGGGCTCAGAATATTGGACCCTTCTGTACAAACCAGAAATCACTAAACTCAGGCCCTAAGTGGTGGTTGACGCCACTTATATGGACCAGAAGTTATCAACTAAGAACCAACCACTCTTCGGGGCGGATCCAAGATCGGGCTATAAAATTTCAAGCCGGGCTAATATGCGAAGAAAAAGAAAAAATAAAAGTAAAAATTTACACTAAAATCATCATCGGCAATTCTAAATTCAAAAAAAGACTTGGACAGTGGATAAATCCATTGCCCCCATAAACTTCAGCAGAGATCACTCAATTGATTTTTAGCAGAAAACACATTCTTAGGCTCTTAGCGTGGGAAACGAGTTCGGGAATAAAAAATTTCATAAATTAAACAAAAATCCTGTCGGAGAAATAGGATATATAAAAGAAACGACTGCAAACAGAATCAACTAAAGTTGCTGTCACCTTCGACAGAGGGGACACCATGAAGAGAAGGACCTTTATTTTACTTGATTTTGTACCGTGGGGTGGGTTGTGGTTGAAGGGGTGAAATATAAAAAATCAAAAAATCCTCACAGAAAAATAGATTTTGAATTTCTTTTACCTCCAAATAGGGAACACCATCAAGAAGAGGGACTTGGATTTCCTTGTTCTTCCTGGACTTATTGCATGATGGTGCAGAAGTCTGCAGAATCCTTGCCAGCCTCTTCTGTCTGCTGCTCCAGAAATTCTTAACATCATTGTCTGTTCTTCCTGGCAAATATGTGGCTATTTTAGCCCATTTATTTCCAAATTGTCCTTGAAGATCTATCACTGTTCTCTCCTCCTCTGCAGAAAACTTCACCCCACTACACAAGTATAGGAGAAAGCAAAACAATATTAAGTGCATGAGACATTAAATTGTAACTGATAACGGAGTGACATTATTTGCATACTTCTTCAAGTTGGGTCGGAGTTTGTTAACCCAACGGAGACGGCACGACTTGCCGGTGCGTTGCAAGAGACCTTTGGATCGAATGGAGCTCCAGTCTCTTGGGCCATATTTGTTAACATGGTTAATCAGAACTTCATCTTCTTCTGCTTTCCATGGCCCTTTCTTTATGATCATGCCCGTATCATCACACAACATTCTTCCCCTCCCATTCATTCTTTATCAACATCAATTCACTCTCCACCACAAACTGTCACGCACAGGACACATGCAAAATTCTGGGTACTTTTTATAATTCTTAGTAGATTTATTTTTTCTTGACTGTGGAGATTTTCTTTTTTTCTATTTTAATTTTTAAATGTTATCTTTCTGCGTGTATGGGTTGGGGTAGTGACGGTTAGGAGCGGTTATGTCTACCACTAATTAATGCACGTTCCCACTATTTTTTTTGAATTCAAATTCAGTCCCTGAGATTTCAAAATTATGCTGGCAGCCTTGAGAAATGAAAGAAAATAATCTAAAGACTAAATTGTGCCCGTTATTTCTAAATACTTTATAGTTACCATAAAAATAATTTATGAAGATGTGAGAATATAAAAAATAATTAATACAGATTGTTTGTGGAATGAACTTTTCATTAAAATGAAATAAAAATAAGTGTGTGAAAACAATTTAAATAGTTGAGGAAGTCAATTAAAATAGTCCTTCCATTTACTATTTTGATCTGGGATGAACATCAAACGAATACTATAATTTATTCACATTCATTTAAAATGAATTGTATGATCAATCGAAATTATTTATTATAGATATGTATTATATCCTCCCATTTATCTTCCATGTATCATAACATTCATTAAATAAATAAATTGGAAGAAAATTTTAAAAATTTTCATCTTTTGCTCCAATTTTTTTTTTAATGAATTTAATTTACTATCAAAATAAGAAATGAATCTGTCAAGCGTAAATTGATCAAAACCAAATAATTGATAAAATGATTCATGATAAATATTGTTCCAATGAGTAAATTAATCAAATACATATTGAAACAAAAAAGTAATAAATCTATCAAATATAGTTAAATAAATTAAATACATATTGAAAAACGAAAAGTAAGGTAATGAATGTGTTAAATGTACATTCATCATAATTAAATAGTTGACATAATAATTAATCATAATATGGTTCAAATGATTAATAAAATTAAATACATATTGTTAAGCAAAAAGTAGAGTATTATTGAAAAAAATTAAACCCCTATTTGATAACCATTATAATGGGAAATTTGGGTAAAATATATTTTAAAATGGGTTAATTTTACAAACGGTCACTAAACTTACTTAAAAATTACAAAACGGTCACTGAATTTTAAAACTTTCAACAACGGTCACTTGAATTTCGGGGCTCTTTCAAAAACGGCCACTGAAATTTAAAAACTTTTAATTACGGTCACTGAAATTTAAAAACACTTATTTAATCTTTTGGGCTACTTTTACAACAACTTTTCGGCCACTTCCGACCACCAATACCATCGAGATTTGATACTGTTGGAAAGCTCACAATGCCTTCTTCAATTACGATCCAAAATCTCCCCTTAACTTCAAGGGATTTGAACGGAAAAATCGATGCTATTTTGGGTCCTAATTGAAGAGGACATTGTGGGCTTTCTAATGGTATCAAAATTCGACGATATTGAAGGTCGGAAATAGTCGAAAAGTTGCCACAAAAGTAGCCCAAAAAAATGAAAAAGTGTTTTTAAACTTCAGTGACCGTTTTTGCAACTTTTTAAATTTCAATGACCCTTTTTACAAGTTTTTAAACTTCAGTGACAATTTTTGAAAGCGTCCCAAAATTTAAGTGACCGTTTTAAAATTTTCACGTAAGTTAAGTGACCATTTGTGAAATTAACACATTTAAAATAGTAATTTTTGGAGAATGTGTAGTTAAAAAGATGAAAAATATTTATTTATGTGTAATATTATTTTAATGAAAAATGTATGATTAAAAAGAAGTGGAAGAAAAATATATTAAAATTTTAAAGGGAATCAAACAAGGGTTAAATACATATTGAAAAATAAAAGTAAAGTATTATTAAAATAATTAAATTATTGTAACGATAGAATCGTCCAACAATAATTATCAATTGATGTGATATTTAACATATTATAGACAACATATCATAACATTTATTGAATAAATCAATTGGAAAAAAACTCATAAATATTCATCTTTTGTTCCAAAAGAGAAAAAAAAATTAATGAATTTAATTTGCTATCCAATTAAGTGGAATGAATATGTTGAATGTATATTGATCGTAATTAAATAATTGATAAAATAATTCATGATAATATTGTTCGAATAATTAGATAAATAAAATACATATTTAAAAACGAAAAGGCCATAAAATCTGTCAAATATTGTTAATTAAATTAAATACATATTGAAAAACGAAAAGTGAGGTAATTAATGTGTCAAATATACATTCATTGTAACTAAATAATTGACAAAATAATTAATGATAATATGGTTCAAATGATTAATAAATAAAATACATATTGAAAAACAAAAGTTGTGTATTATTGAAATAATTGAATTATAATAATGATGAATCATTCAAAAAATGTTTTTCACTTAATGTCATACACACACTTGTCGGTTGAATGAGTATTACACGTTATTCTAAAGTGCTTTATAAATGTTGTCAAAGTAATATTTGATATCAATTTATCAGAAGGATTTGATGGTTTTCAAATGAATTAAAGAAAATAAAATTTATGATAAAAATTTAAGAGAGGAAAATTATTTTATGAAAACTTAACTTCTATGATTCAAATTTTTTTGGGATGATGAAATACTACAAATGAGCAACATTTTCATACTACATTTGATATATAAAAATTGATTGCTAATGCATGAATTTAAACACTCATTAAAATATCTAGATACATGAATAGAAATAAATTTATCTATTATAACTTTAAATTTGTGTGGATCAAGATTCATCAAGTCGGGATTCATTGAGTCTAGATTAATGTGAATATTAATTAATTGAAAATTAATAACAAGAAATTCATACATGACAAGTATTTTATAGTATTTATTTCATATTACAAAATGAAAAATAAAGTATTATATATATATATATATATATATA